ATCCAACGTGGGGTTCGATCTCAGGATCTCACAGCCCATGAGATCACTGCCTAAGCCAAATCTGAGAGTCAGACATGTAACCGACTGAGCCACCCAAGTCACCCCTCTAATCATATTTGACCCATAGAATGTGTCTGTGGCTTTCTGCTTTATGTCCTTCCCTGTTTGGCTTGGTTAAAATTCAGTTCTGAGGCCTCTGGGGCCCTGCGAGGGCTTGTTCAGGGAATTCAGGGCCTGAGTCAGTTGAGGCTGATGGACTGCTTCTGCCCTCCGGGCTGGCCATGGTCACTCTCTAGCCTCCACTCAGCACCTTTTCCATAGTTCAAGACTTGTGCAAGACACATTCACAGGCCTGCTTAGAATTCTGCTGGTTTGCTTTTGGGTCCACGGATGACTGTGTTTGTTCTCTGGCCTTTGGTTTCTTCAAAGGGTCCAATCTCTTCTGTGTTTTAAAATGTCTTTTGTATCTGTAGCCCTTTTCAGCATGCTGTTTTGCTGTTTTCACGCCACTGTGCCTACTAACTGGGTTGCCAGGAATGAGTTGATGGAGAGTTGGATAAAGATCACAGTGTCACTCCGGTCATTTAAAGATGTCTCATCCCAGTGCTGTAAAAGTGGGAAGGGAGCCCAGGTGATTTAAAGGATTAAAAGACTGGGACCTGAAGGCCCAGGTTTCTACCCTAGACTGTCAGATGAGAGTAGTAACTCTCAGATGGTGGTCTTTGTGGTGGTGGCTAGAGATAGAATCAGTTACTCCTTTGGGCTCAGGGAAAACTTACCCTTCTGTACGACAGAAAAAAAGACAAGCCTTCAAGTTCAGTTTCTAGAACTTGGAATTACAAGACTTGGATTACACTGTCCATTTCCTGTGTAACAGATGTCCTACAGTGTAAAAAATTTTAAACTGATGTTAATGGCACAATTAAGCATAGTTAAAAATGCTCATTTTCACACATTTTTTTGTCTTAAAGGTCTAGAAAAAGAGGCTATATCCTAACATTTGTCTGCTTAGCTGAAAACCGTAAAGAAAATAGGATTTCAGTGATGAGTAAAGTATGGGTTGCTTAGTTGAGAAACAGAGAAATCTGTTGGAACCTGGGACTTTGGGGCTGCATCCAGAGTAGATCCCCTCCAACCACAGCCAGATGCAAACAGATTCTCTCTCCAGTGGAAGATAGCACGTTCTATGTAAGGTAGTTTCCTAGTTGGTTGAAATTGGGTACTTTTTAGAGGGACTAACCTTTTTAATTTGATTTTAATTTTTCTGGGTCTTCAGAAAGCTGGTAAACACGGAACAAACTTACTTTGTGTTAGCTCTCAAGTAATAGGCTCAGTTGGCTTTTATCCCTCCAAGTGCCTTTTCAGGTGAAGTGTCTTAATGTAAAGCAGTGTGAAAAAAAAGAATAAAAGCAGTGTATCCCAACTGCTAATCTGAAAAACAAATAACATTCTTTTCCCTTTCTGCAATTTTTTTCCCTTTCCACAATTTTGGAATTTCTAATTCCAATAAGACATACGAATTACTCCCCCCCACCAAGATTTTATTTATTTGACAGAGAGGGACACAGCAAGAGAGGGAACACAAGCAAGGGGAGTGGGAGAGGGAGAAGCAGGTTTCCTGCTAAGCAGGGAACCAGATGCGGGCTGGATCCCACAACCCTGGGATCATGACCTGAACCAAAGGCAGACGCTTAACAACTAAGCCACCCAGGTGACCCATGAATTTCTTTCTCTCTGTCTCTTTTTTAAAAGATTTATTTATTTATTTTAGAGAGCGAGCGAGTGCGTGGATGAGCCAGGGTGGGGTGAGGGGGCAGAAGGAGAGGGAGAGAGAGAATCCCAAATAGACTCTGCATTGAGTGAAAAGCCCAATGCAGGGCTCGATCCCATGACCCTGAGATGACATGAGCCAAAACCGAAAGTTGGATGCTCAGTCGACTGAGCCACCCCAGTGCCCCGAGTCAACTTTCTTTGTTAGTATAGAGGCCGCATGAGAATAATTGAATCTTTTTTTAGAAAAAGATTTTACTTATTTGAGAGAGGAAGAAAGATAGCGAGAAAAAGCATGAGCAGGGGATGGGGAGAGGTGGAGGGTTGGGAGAGGGAGAAGCAGGGTCCCTGCCCAGCAGGGAGCCCGATGTTCCTTAAAAAAATGTTATGCTTTGCTTTGGCATAGCCTTAAGTTACTAGCATGTCTGTCTAACCCCTGGAGGCCTCTTTTTTTTTTTTTTTTTTTTTAAAGATTTATTTATTTGACAGAGAGAGACAGATCACAAGTAGGCAGAGAGGCAGGCAGAGGGAGGGGAAAGCAGGCTCACCGCTGAGCAGAGAGCCCGATGCGGGGCTCGATCCCAGGACCCTGAGATCATGACCCAAGCCAAAGGCAGAGGCCCAACCCACTGAGCCACCCAGGCGCTCCGTGGAGGCCTCTTTTGAACTTCTGATAGGTCCGGCGTACTGTAGCCTTCTCTCCAGAAAATAGTTCAGCCTTTCTACCAAGGCCTGTCCTCTCAGGGTCTCAGTGAATGCCTTGGGCGAGTCTCCAAGATCATTCTGCTCTGGTGCTCAAACACCTTCCTACTTTGTGCAGACACTGGGACTTGTTCAGTTTGTAGCTTCCTGGTCATTTTTCACCTGCCTTGTGTGTGGAATTTCACTCCTGCTCGCATGGCCTACGAGTCAGTGCATTTCTAGAGCTCTCTGTGTAGCTTCCTCTTTCCTAGCACTCCGCCTCTACCTTCCAGCCCCCTCTGCCTCCTTGAAGTCTGATGATCTTCATTTTCTCAACTTAGCAGGGCTTCTATGTTCAGTTTGGGGTCTCCTTCCCAGTACTTGGTGGCCTGGAAATTGTGTCCAGGCAGGAAATTGGGTGACTGTGTAGCTCACCTTGTTTCTCTCTCTTGGGGCTCACTGTTCTGCACTGCCTGTTGCCCTGCCTGAAATAGTTGTTTTATGGTCTCTGGTTTCTGGCTGTTTGCTGTAAGTGGTTGAGTCTGGCTGGTCCTTGATAGGCAGTCATTGCTCTGGTAGAAACTCCAGGAAATCCAGTGACATTGGCCCATTGAAAATAATTCTCACCAAGTGAATGCAGTTCTCCAAGGCGTGCCTGCCCATGTTAGAAAAACTAAACAGACTTGACATGAATTTCCGAGTGAAGCATGATAGTGCTTCCCCTGTTCGTTATGCCCCTTTCTCACAGACTGAAACTGTTACTGTTACTGTTCTGACGAGAATAATGATTAGAGCTCCCCTGAGGGTAGATGGGCTGAGAGCAGTCCTTGTCACTGCTAATATTGGCAGTGCTCAGTGGGTGACCTTTCCTTTGGGGTGCTCTTGTCCTTCACATCACACGTAGTTTTCCTCTTGGGAATGGCCCCGTTAATGTGCTTTCAGTTCAGGAATCATCTTTTGATTCCATGTGGGAAGTCTGTGCTGAGAGACCACCGAACTTCTGAATCAGTAGGGGATGTGTGGCTTTCAAGGGCCGCCTGTGAAAGAGGATTGCTTGATCTGGGAAACCTGGGAACTGTAAAGGCATGTTTGAAGGAGGCTAATTTGCACAAGGATATGTATGTAGAAGGATGGGTCATACTCCCACCAGTGTGGAATGAAAGAAGCTGTATATTTGGAAGTGGATTGTTGATAGTTGCGAGGGATAGTAGACTCCTGAGTAGACACGAGACTCGGCTGTTGATAACTGAGCCAAGAAGTGACCAGATCAAGGAAACAGTCTGCTGTTTGTTTTTTCTGGTCAGCAATTATTTACTTCAGATGTACTGGTAAAGATCTGGTGCCCTTATTCAGAAATCATGAATATTACCAGCTACAGATGTTTGTTTTCTTTTTGTTGTTGTTTTTAATTACTTTTTGGTTCTTAGAGTGACTAAGACTCACAGATGCTGAATGACTCACAGATGCTGTGGAAACCCATGGTACTCTGTGTAGTGTGCCATGATAGCTTTAAGTTTGTGGCATCCAAATGTTGTTTCTAAATATGTTGAAACTTTTGAAAGCCCAAAGTTCTTTTCTTTTTTTTTTCTTTTTAATTTTAAATGCAACCTGAGAAATATTCCTTGGATCCACTGATGCTTAGAAATTTTAGAAGTTAATGAGCTGAAAAAACAGTGCTCAACCCCACTTAAAGAGAAATGAAACATTGAGGAGGAGGTGTTTTTTTCACCTGTCAAATTGATTGACATTTAAAAATGTACTATAAGTTGGCTAGCTATTAAAAAATAAATAAAAATAAAAATGATAGTATTTAGTGTTGGCAAGGGTGTGACAACATAGGCACTTCTTTGAACTTCCAGGAAAAAAACATATCACCTTTCTGAAAATAAGTTTGGCAGTGTATACTAAAAACTTTTATACTCTTAGACCCTGCAGGTATTGCTTCTAGGGTTTTTTTTTTTTTTTCTTTCTTAAAATTGTTAAAAAGTTAAACAAAAATGTAAGCAGTAAGGTGTTTGTTGCAACTTTATTTCTAATGGTGACATATTAGAATGCCTAACAACAAGAGTGTTTCAGTTGTGCCATTTTTTCATTACAGAGTACCCTGTAACCATTAAAACAGTGTTTATGAAGCATATTTCATTACATGGAAAAATGTACATATTTGAAAATAAACAAAATACCCAATGATAGGTAGCCTCGTGTCAGGTGTTACTAAAAAATGTGTGCAAGAATTGTCAGAAATATGCCAAAATGTTAAAGTAACTGTTTTTAGGTGGTGGTTTTGTAAGAGATTGTTTTCTTCTTTATGTTTTCTCTATTTTCCGAAATTGGAGCAGGAGAGCATTCTAGATATGTGAAAGCGAGTGTGATATTTATATCTGCATTCTGGACTTAGCTAAGACCTTTCTAGACCCTGCACTGGCCCCTCAGATCCCAAGAGTAGGCATGCCTTTCATCTCTCTAAGGCTAGTTTGTTTTACATTTGGGTGAAAAAGTACCTTTTTTTTTTTTTTTTTTAAACAGTGATTTCTCTGCTTACTCTTCAGATAAAAATTTTGATGATGAAGATTCTGTGGATGGTAATAGACCTTCCTCTGCTAGTTCTACATCATCCAAAGCTCCGCCCAGCTCACGGAGAAATGTTGGAATGGGGACCACCCGCCGGCTTGGGTCATCCACTCTGGGATCCAAGTCTTCAGGTAAAACCAACCCCCTGGGGGTGCTGTGGGGGTTGGCTCTGTCCGCATTTAAAACCAGATGAACATGGTGCTTGCCTTCTGTGTCCTTCAGGAGTGAAGTAATTCTGTTGGTAATAAATTTCTGCTTGCTCAGTGTTGCAATGTTTGGTATGGGGGAGCCTGTGGGAGAATATGGCCAATCCAGAGGCGAGCTAGAGCTCGGAGACAGAGCAGGAGTGTGCTGTTAATGGCTTTATTCAGATATGGGGCTCCAGCAATGCCTGAAATTACCATGGGGCCTTTTTTTTTTTTTTTTTTTGCCAACTTAGCTACACTGAGACTGTCCAGAAGTCAGATGGTGTGCCTTCTGTCCTTAAAATGTATTTTGTCCCTATAAGTAGTGCTGTTCTTTATGAGACCAGTATAGATGTTGACCACAATAAATGGTAGAGATGAGCTCCCCAATCTTTGAACATTGATTTACAAAGATGTCCTCCTCTAAATCCTTCTTCTCCCACCCCCCAATTTAGACAGTTTTGAGTTCTTGTTATATACCACTTGCATTTTGCTGTCACATTTTTAAGTTGACATGCAAATTTCTTTTTACTTCAAATTGTATAGCCATTGTTTTGAGACCTGTTCTGATTGTTAACATTGGGCTTTTGAACTTGGCTGGATGTGCTAAATTAGAACTGGGGTAAGGATTGACCTTAGAATCCTGTTTCCTTCTGGTGGTCTTCCTGGCCTTCTGCACTGGCCCTAGACTGTTGGGGTCTTCCTCAGTCAGCTCAGTGTCCCTGCAGTGCCTCTGCCACTAGCTTCCCTGTCAGTGTTAAAGAGCTGTGCTTATGGTTGATAGGGATGTTCACACCACAGAAACGGCAGAAGGAAAAGCTTTGCATTTATTGGTATTCTATCTTTTTAATTTTTTTGATGCTTTAAAAAAATATTTTTGGGGGGGCGCCTCGGTGGCTCAGTGGGTTTAAGCCTCTGCCTTCGGCTCAGGTCATGATCCCAGGGTCCTGGGATTGAGCCCCACATCAGGCTCTCTGCTCAACAGGGAGCCTGCTTCCTTCTCTCTCTCTGCCTACTTGTTATCTCTGTCTGTCAAATAAATAAAATATTTAAAAAAAAAAATATTTTGGGGCCGCTTGGGTAGTTCAGTTGGTTAAGCAACTGCCTTCGGCTCAGGTCATGATCCCAGAGTCCCAGGATCGAGTCCCACATCGGGCTCCCAGCTCCATGGGGAGTCTGCTTCTCCCTCTGACCTTCTTCCCTCTCATTCTCTCACTCACTCTCTCTCAAATAAATAAATAAAATCTTTCAAAAAATATTTTTAAATTGAGTTTAAATCCACAGAACATCAAGTTAATCATTTTAAAGGTAACAGTCCAGTTGCATTTAGTATATTCACAGTGTTGTGCAGCCACCACCTCTGGCTAGTTCCAGAAGGGCTTCTCCACTACCAAAAGGAAGCCCCGGACCCTTTAAACAGTTGCTGCTCCCCATCTCTTCCTTCCCCCAGCCCCTGGCCATCAGCAGTCTGCATTTTTGCCTCTCTGCATTTGCCCCTTCTAGATATTGCATAGAAATGGAGGCGTGTAACACGTAATCTTTTGTCCCTGGCTTCTTTCATTTAGCCTAGCGTTTTGGCAGTTCGTCTGTGTTGAAGCGTGTATTAGTCCTTCACTCCTCTTTATCACTGAAAAACCTTTCTAATCTTTTATTTAAAAAAATTTATTCTTATTCTTGGGAGGCATTAGTTCCACAAACAAGGATTAGAAAATTTCTGTATCATCAGACCACTTTTTTTCCCCCTCCTGCCCCTTACCCATCTCCCTTCCAGAAGTCCCAACTCTAGCTTATGTAGAGAGCTCAGTCCCGTTCTCATCCGTTTTTTCCATTTTGTTTAACAACATAGTCATGAATTTGCTTACTGACTCCTCCTCGTCTGATTCTGGGGCTCACGGACCATGGTTGTCTCTCAGTCCCCTTCCATATGTGGGTACGTGGTGCGGCACATAACCGGAGCAGTGCTCGGGACTGTTCTGCTCAGGGAATCCGTTCTTTTCACAAAAATAAGCACTGAGTACCACATCACAGTGTGACATTACTGTCATCTGTCCACAGCGAGCTTGTGAACTCAGTATGAGGAATCTTCATCAAAAGTGAGGACACACATTTTTTGTTCCCAGAATCATCTTTAAAGCCCTGTGTTGTCCATGGGGACCCCAGACATCAAATAACTTGTCTATGAGGAAACTCCGGAAAAGCAGTCAAACTAATCGTTGTAAAAATCATTAATGAGGGTTACAAGATGACTGTAGACTCCCAGTTTTGAAACCTTTGTTCCGGGGGGTTGAGGGGAAGGTCTGCTAAAATGTCATATGATTTTCATGTGTGAAGTGGAGTTCATGTTAGACAAAGAAAAAACTCTCCTAAATGATAGCAATCAACTTTCAAGTATACAGAGCATCTTATAACACCTTTATGAGTGAAAGTTGCTTCTGATGTGCAAGTGAAAAATTGAGTTATGCATTCAAGGAAATGAATATGTTTTGAGACTAATAAAAAGTTGAAGTGAGACTGTTAAATTCTTCAGAACTTATTTGAATGTTTCACAAATTTGGCATGCTAGATGCCTAACCAATAACATAACCAAATTCATTCCCCGAAAAATTAAATTCTTTGTTATATATCTGTTTATTAGCAACCTTTCAAAAGATTCAGGCACGACTACAATATAAACCATCTATATCCTTTAAAAGCTAAATGTCCTCCTTAACAAGTAGTCTCTCTAAGTGACTCTAACTAACGTACATAGTATTGTAGGATTACTGCATTTCATCTTGATATTAAAAGTAATATTTGTTAGTTCCACAGGACTCTTAATTTTTTTTTTTTTTTTTTTAAAGATTTTATTTATTTATTTGACAGAGAGATCACAAGCAGGCAGAGAGGCAGGCAGAGAGAGAGGAGGAAGCAGGCTCCCTGCTGAGCAGAGAGCCTGATGCGGGGCTCGATCCCAGGACTCTGAGATCATGACCTGAGCCGAAGGCAGCGGCTTAACCCACTGAGCCACCCAGGCGCCCCAGGACTCTTAATTTTTATTAAGCCTTTCGAAAGATAGTTACAAATCTCCCAAAAGGTAATGGTGATTGTGTATGTTCAGACCAGCCCTCTGCACATTGTTCATGTTTTAAAAATGAATCTTTTTCATAGCTGCAAAAGAAGGAGCTGGTGCTGTCGATGAAGAGGACTTTATTAAGGCATTTGATGATGTACCTGTCGTGCAGGTGAGTGAGGATAGTATTTGAGTTTGATTAAAAGCAGATAAGACTGGCTCTTTGAATTCCATTTTCAAGTAGGTGTTATGTGAAGTCCCTTCCTATGTGAGTAATTTTACCTCTCAGGACTACAGGAGATCTGCCGTTGCACAGTAGAAAAATTGGTGCCTTTTATAGCTGAAATGAAGAGCAAAAGTCAAGACTCAGTGTGATCTTTCAGTAAGAGCTGGAGAGAGGTTTCTTTCTTGCTCTAGTAATAATTTTGTGGATTAGGTCACCTAAATGTGGGGGGAGGGACCAACAATGATTAGATTAGGTGTGAGAACAGAGAAGCATGTTTATTTAGGGCCTTTATTTTTTTAAGACAAGTTGTAAATTTCAAGGAACTGGGTGTCTAAAAAGCTATAAAGAATGGATTAATAAAAGCTCAAGTTTATGCCATCCTGATGCTTCACTTAAGTACCTAACAGACAAAGCAGAGATTGCTTGTAAGGTTGGGGTTCACACATTTTAACTGCTGTGTGCCTCAGTGTCATCTGTTGTTGCCTGGGGGCTAATAACACTTTCCCTCGGCCTACATGGAATGTGGTGCTCTGTATTCCTGTAGCACTAATGTCCGTGTGATCACTTGCTACCCGCTCCTGGGTTGCCATGTGTATGTAAATCAGGTAACTGGCATTGTAGGCTCAGGTTCATCCTTAAGTCCTTGGCCTCCCCAGCTTGCATCCTTCTTGTCTGATTATTCCCCTACCTATCTTATTAGTAAGATGTGAGTGCAAATGAGAGAGTAGACTTGAAGAGATTTATAAATAATACTAAGAGTAAGAAATGATCTGAGTATCACTGATCGTTCCCCAGCTGACTTCTTTCTTTTCTGTACATGAAGTTGTCTGTTGAGTTTATAGTAGAACTGTGTTTGAAGCATGGTTATCCACACTTGGCATCAATCTAGTGGGTATATATTCACAATGGGAAAGACACTCATTCTAAGACAAATCTGGCTAGATGTTATAAGACCTTCTGATAAAGTGACATTTTTTTTTTAAACTTTACTTGCTAAAGCTCTTGACTTCGTGTAATTAAAAACTAATCTTTGTTTATTCTGTAAATTTTCTTACATTGGTTGTAAATTAATTTTGCTTACAGATTTATTCCAGCCGAGACCTTGAGGAATCCATAAACAAGATTAGGGAAATATTATCTGATGACAAGCATGATTGGGAGCAAAGAGTAAATGCTGTAAGCCATTGACTTCATGTGATTACATTTTCACTGGATTTATTTAAATGTTCTAAATAATTATGCAATTGGGATATAGCTCTGATGAATTTTAAATATAAATTACCATATTTACACTTAACCCTTTTAGTAGAGTACCTCACTTCTATTTCTGTTTCAAAAGCATGCCAACCTATGCCGTTATGTAAGTCCTGTACTTTTAATAAAGACCTAACGTGGAGCCTGTGGAGACAGCCTCCACTCTTGTCTTAGTCAACATTTAATTGTAATTGTTAGCCAGTAAATTGACTTTTCTTAGTGGCATTTTCAGTGTGTGTCCCTCTCATCCATCCTTTCTTCATATCACTTGCTGGAAAGTTCTGTCCCTTCTATTTAAAAAAGTAGATTAATGAAAAGTGGGGTGAACATTAAAATGAGGGTGTGTCTTATCTGAGGAAAGCTGTTTTCCAGTGGTCGGCTGGCAGGAAGTGAGGCAATAAAATTACAGCTGTATTCCACTCAAACTCAGACTAGCCTTTCAGGAATGCCGCAGTGGAGGACACTGTACAAATGATGACAGGATGGCTTCCTCCTTTGACTCCTTAAACAAATGGCAGTTAGAGTCAGTTGTTGGGGAAGATAAGCTTTAGGGGAGGAGTTAAAATGAAGGCTTTTGTTGTTTTATCATTAGCACAGAGCCTATAAAGACACGATAATGTTTTCAGTTAAAAAATACATTTTGCAAAATTTTAAGGTACTGCATATAAAAATAATCCGTTCTTTTTGTGATATGTAGATTTATGCAGTATGGTAGCTGATACTGAATTGGCTCAGTTCTTCTGGAGAACTTCTGATATCAATGAACTTTGATTTTGATCGCTCATATTTGATGGCTTCTGTTGTTTTGTATATACTGTTTGAAGAATTGCTTTGTGTGTCTCTGAATTTTCTCTGTCCCATCAGCTAAAAAAGATAAGATCTTTACTTTTGGCTGGTGCTGCTGAGTATGATAACTTCTTTCAACATTTGCGTCTTTTGGATGGAGCCTTTAAACTCTCTGCTAAGGACCTGCGGTCTCAGGTAGTGCGGGAGGCTTGTATCACCTTGGGGTAAGGACTACCATGCTTGATTCTCACACATTCTAAATTAGCCTCGTTGCAGCGCTTCTGGGATGGTCTGTGGCAAATGCCCAGCAGGTCTCTCTAATGTGCTTTCTGACCTGTCCCATTTATGCTGCTGTTGGTACTTTTATACTGTTACAGTGTTTCCTGCCCAATGACAGAAAGTGTGACAGAGTTTCAGTGTTACTCCGTGACTTAGCTCTGAAGCCTCCATTTTAAACTTGGAGCAGTTATTACTAATAATACAGAAAAAAGAAATTTTACAAACTTCTGTTTCTTAGCTTTTCCTTGATTGTGCTGTCTGGATATAGCAGGATTATCAGAATTTTTCTTTGTTTCTAGAAGAGCACTGTAGCTATGAAGTTAAAGCCAAGGCATATGCTCCAGTAGAATTTTACCCTAGCGAAACCTGTTACTAGCGTTTGAAGCTGGAGCTTCTGTGTTAGAAAGTGTGTCCGAACAGCAAAGCAGCAACAGGAAGCAGATGCTGCTGCTGTTAAGTGTCAGATGTGGAAGCATATATATTATGTGCTAAAGGCTTTTAATGGGGCAAAAGGAAGAAAAGGGTGGGGGGGGGGTCTTTCATATTTATATTTTATTAGTATATGATCAATTTGTCTTTTGCTATTTTAAGATTAATGTGTTGGGAATGATTTATTTAAAAAATAAAAGCCACAAACTCTTGGGGCAGTGGCTCTTTGCCAAGTCTACAGTGTGCACATTGGAAATATTTTGAAAGTATCTGACTCAGATCTTTGCTTTTTGTCTCTCAATAACTTTAAATGAAAGCCCTGTGATGTTAAGAGGCTTATATGCTTCAGTGTTTGCAAGAAATACAACTACAGTACAGTTTTCATTTCTCATTGTAGGCATCTGTCATCAGTTCTGGGAAATAAGTTTGACCATGGAGCTGAAGCCATTATGCCAACTATCTTTAATTTAATTCCAAATAGTGCCAAAATTATGGCCACTTCTGGTGTTGTAGCTGTTAGGTTAATCATTCGGGTAAGTATATTTGGGGGCCATACATAGAGTAAGCAAGTAGTAAACACGGGTGGTTGATAAGCCATATTAGAGGCACTTTTCATTAGCATGATTATAAGTAGTTGGAATCATGTTGTGGATACAAATCAGCCTCTCCCTCTCCTTAATTAGATCCTGTATGAGCCTTTTACATTCCATAATGTGAATTATGGATATGGTGTATGCTTACTGAGGTGTTGATCATTTACTCGTCATTGACTTTAAACATTTGAACATCTGTATCTGCTTCGGTTTATACCCAGTTCTTTAGGTCTCCAGATTGTACTCCTTAATTCCCAGTCATTCCATTTTAGGTATTTGTGCTTGTGGCTTTGTTATTCACCTAAAGTTATTATTTAATTAATTGTGTTTAAGCTGATGAACAAAAGATTGCTTTCAGTGTTCTAAACACTCATTTATTTAAGTTTAAATAATTATCCAAGTAATTTATGTACAAGTTTTCAGTAGAACTTAATAGTTCACAAGAGCTTAAAATGAATATGCCCCACATGACCTTCTCCCCATCTTCAAGTCTCTTTTGCCCAGAGGCAGCCCTTGAAACTGGGACTTGATGATGCTAAAATCTTTCTGGAATATTTCTGGTTATTGTGGGTCACTTACTTGTATTATTTTTAGTCCCTATTATTTGCACTGCTTACTTGAAATATTAAATCCAAAGCCGTTGTTGGACATTCCCATTGAAACTGTATCAAAACACATCGGTCTGCAGATTCCTTTTGAACTCCCTTAGATCTCTACTGCCAGATAATTTAGACTTCACACCAATGGTTTGTTCTGTTGTTAGGGCTATTTATATATCATTGGGTGGTCTGTTGAGGTTCTGTAAATGTTGTCATGGCCTTTGGCAACATCCAGTGAAATTCTTCTTCCGTTTTAAGCTCAGTGAAATTCTAATCTAAATACATGTGCTTTAGGTAGTTTAATAAGGAAGTGTGGTGGTTGTCTTAGTTTTATTTTATTTTTGTATTTCCAAGTGTTCACCTCTGGTTTTGTTCTTTTCTGCAGCACACACACATCCCTAGGCTAATACCTGTCATAACAAGCAACTGTACCTCTAAGTCTGTCGCAGTTAGAAGGTAAATTTTTAAACAGCTTCCTCATTATTTTTGAATGGTTTAAAAACCAAAACAAATTCCAAATTTGCCTCCGTGGAAACATTCGTGTTTGAAATGTTAAAATTATTTAAGATCATTGTAATAAATGCCTTTGGATTGAAGGATCATGTTCTGAATAGTCTGAAAGATAAATTTGGACAGCCTCTATTATTCGTGTGTATATGTGTGTGTCGTGGGTGAGAGAGAGTGCGCGCATGTGTGCAAGAGAAAAGGGGGGGAGACAAAGAATGTGTGTCTGTGTGTGTGTGAGTTAATGGAAGGGGGGGTGTACATTTTTTCTCAGTCTCTCTACCTAAGTCATTGGTGTACACTTCTCTGAATGAAAGCAGTAACTGCATACAAGAAAAAGAACGTTACAAAAATTAATGGCATCTATTTAATATTACTGTCAGTAGGAGGGGGTGTATGTTGTTTCCAGCTTCCGACAGTGATTTCTGGGGTTCTGAATCCTGACCAACGCCACGTACCAGGAGATACCACCTGGTTAACTAGCTAGGTCTTTGTTCCCTGGTCCAGATGAGCAGCCCTAGATCACAGGCGAGGAATAAGATCTCTGCTCACTGGAATCAGTAGTTCTTGAGAGTCTAATATAAAGTCTGTGCCCCCTCTTCCTAAGAAAATGTAAATATGCAGAATAGTTTAGTTTAGATTTTAAGGGGATTGGTGAACACTGTTGAAGCCGCTCAGTGGACCATATCAGGTAATATAGGGTAAGTTAACGGCTGGCTTGGACAGCAGCCTCCTGCTCACATTCCTGGAGTTTGTTGTCTGATCCCAGCCCAGTGAAAGAGCCCTTCACTCTAAGCTTGGAGCACAGCGTACAGTCTCTGCCCATCGTTGCCCTCCTTTCCTGGCTTGTCACCTAGGTCCCGCCATGTTTCCACAGGTAGGGATGCCTGTTACTCCTGAGGTGGCCTCCATCCATCTTACTCACAGCTCTGTGGAAGTCACGAAGGAAGAAAGGGGAATCTCCACCTTTATAAAGCTAGGAAGGAAGGAATTGGCACCTTTCACTGGAAAAAAAAGCTTAATCTCTAATGGCTTGCTTGTATGTTGCTGAGGAATGCGGTCTGCCTTTACCTCCAGTTTCACGGCTGCTTCCTGAGATGAGTGTGTGAGCTCATCAGGGGAGAGGGACGGTAGTGAACTTCAGAACCTGGCAGACTGCAGCCGAAGCATTACCTCTTCCCACTGGCTAATCTGACCTGCTTGGAACGAGAGTACCTCCACAGAGGCAGAGGGCCCAGTCATTGGGTAGCGGGGTTTGACACTTTGTGCGACCTTAATAAGTGACACTCATTATTAGATTTTGCTGCTGCTGCTGCTATTGTCACTATCGTTTTAGGTTTTCCAAGAGAAATTCAGAGTGTATTAGGCCGAGTTCCTCTGTTCTACATCCTGTAGAATGTTACAGGATGTTTAGTGTATTAGTCAGCTCTGGCCGCCATAAAAAAAATACCACACACTGGGTGGCTTAAATAACAGAAATGGATTTTCTCACAGCTCTGGGGCTGGAAGTCTGAGATGAGAGTACCAGCATGGTTGAGTTCAGCGTGGTTGAATTCTAATGAGGGTCATCTGCAGGTGGCTGCCTTCTCACTGTGTCTTCACAGGGCAGAGATGGAGACACACAGAGCATGCTCGCAGGGGTTTCTTCTCAGAGGGGCACCAGCCCCATCATTAGAGCCCCATTTTCATGATCTCATGTGAATCTAATTACCTACTGAAGGCCCCATCTCCAAATACCCTCCTGTTGAGCAGTTGGGCTTCAGCATACAAATTTTGGGGCAACACCATTCAGTCCCCAGAATTTAACAGTTCTGGCTTCTGGTGCTAAATGACTGGTAACTTGCATTTACTGTGGCAAGAGAAACGTTACCCCCTTCACCCCTTTCTGAGTCCCTTTCAGATTGCTCTTCTTACATTAGTCAGGGTCTGCATCGGTCAGAACCATGCATCTTGATGCTGGAAGAAGTACCTTCAGAGAGGTAAAGAGAACCAAAGAGGGCAGTGGGACCCAGGCAGTGCTCTGGCTCTGATGTACTCAGCCAGTACCTACCTCTGCTTTGTAGAATTTGTAAAAATTGGACTGCATAGTCTCTCTGCCTTTGAGAAGTTGATCGTTTAGATGGGGAGATTAAAAAACAATCATGCAAAGCAACGTAAGAGTGAATTATAACACCTGTGTTGGGAATTTAGAAATTCAGAGAGCAGTGATTAAAACCAGCTAATATATTCCTATGATGCTTCATAGACAAGTTGAAAACTGAGTTGCGTTTTGAATGTTGAGTAGGAGTAGGTAGAGACAAGTTCTAACCTGATGTGTTTAAATATTGATGTGTTAAACAATGCCAGTATTGATACTGCTTCTTTGTATGTTTGTCTAAAAAGTGGAAAATAAAACCTAACTTACAGGGCATATTTTTGAACAAGCTAACACACATTTAAGACCAGAATTAGCACCAAAGATGGCTTTATTCACTAAGAGATAGCTAAACATAAACAAATGCATGCATATTTTTTAAAAAAAGAAAAAGAGACAAAAATCAGCCCAGGAAATGACATGAGGAAGCAGGTAGAATAAACATGGCCTTGGTTGAGGCTGGGTGGGGAGAATGGCAGAGGAGACAGTGTGGGTGTGGGTCAGTGTCTCTCCTTGGAAAAAGTCTGTTTCACAACCAACTCAACGCACGGGCACACATGCACACTGTTGCCAGCCCTAGGACTGGGTTGGATAGCTCTCCTGTGTGTTTCTAAGAAGAGCCCCCTTGTGTTTCTGGCACATGGGAACTGTTCCTTGTGTGTCTTCCTTGATGGTGTATGTCTTGGTTCCCATTGTTATCCGTACCATCTAGGGTAGGGTTAGGGTTTATTAAAGATTTATTGAGTAATTAATTATATGGATTATGATGTTTTGAATTGGGAGGACCATGGGAATGCAAGTCTGGTCATTAGAGAAAAATTACCCTCTGGTTTGTTTCCTTGAGTAAGTTTCTAAGACTATGAAGATTTACTGCCACGAGGATAAACAGCCTGGACTTCTGGAAAGTTATAAAGAGGTAGACCCCGAAGTGGTGATGTAATCCAAAGGAGATGAGACCAGAATTGTTTCGCTGCACAATCAGGCCAAGAAAGATTACAAAAGTGAAACGGCTTGACAAGAAAGGAGGTTGAAAGATTGAAGAGGGAATTAGAGGAGTAAAGAAAAATCTATTTTAAGCACTACCTAGGATCTTCTTGGGAAAATTTGGAAAGGACTTTGTTTTTCAGGACTTTTTTTCCCCCCTTTTTTGCACAAGGCATTCTGTGAAATTAGTGCAAAGACCAATTCCCTGATTCTGTAATAATGTACGCTGATCTTTTTTGCTCATGTATGTCCTATTTTAACATATTATTTGAGGTAGTATAAAAACAAAGGACAGCAATAGGCCCTTTCAGTAATGTTGCCATGAAGCTCCAGTTTCTGATTTGAGGGGAGCTTTTATATCCTCTTATATCTATATAATTATAAATATAATACATATAAAATTATAAAATAATCTATATAATTTTTCTTTTCTGATCACCATAGATGCTTAATTACTTTTACTTGCTTGGGTTTTTAGTCAATGCTGATTCCAACTTTATATTCCATTTTTTGAATCCTAATAATTAGAAGAAATTTACCAGTTCTAAAAAGTAGTGTGGGAATAAAAAAAAAAAGCTTTTATTTTCACTAACATAAAAATGACTGAGTTACCTATGTTTCCTTTACACTTTTTAGGCGCTGTTTTGAATTTTTAGATTTACTTTTACAAGAGTGGCAGACACATTCGCTGGAACGGTAAGCATTTGATTTGCAGGTTTTTTTTCCTCTCTGAAATGAACCTTGAGATTTAATGCCTCGATAAGTGGCCCAACCTGCTTTTTATAAGAATGGAAGGAGTCTGTCAAGCATTTGTTTGCATGACTACATCTGTTATTTCGTGAGGCTCATAATATTGGCAGAAACTTTTAGTGAATTTCATTGATTGCAGTTGTAATGTGTCTAGAGATGTGGACAGATGTATACCATGTCAGCTAAAGCCACGATTAACCTTTTCTTTAAATTAGTTTTTAACTCCAGTATAAGATAACCTACCATGTTATTTTAGGTGTAAAGCATAGTGATTTAGTAATTCTGTACATAAGTCAGTGCTCATCTGATTAATTCACTCAGTAAGTGAATTTTTAATCCCTTTCACCTGTTTCACCCATCCCCCGCCCCCACACCCCTTCCCTTTAGTAACCATCAGTTCTCTGTAGTTAAGAGTCTGTTTTTTAGTTGGCCTTTTTCTTTGTTTCTTAAAGTCCACGTATGAGTGAAATCATATGGTATTTATCTTTCTCTGACTGACATTTCACTTAGCATAATACTCTCTAGCTCCATCCTTGTTGTTGCAAATGGCAAGATTTCATTTGTTTTCATGGCTGAGTAATACTCCATTGTGTATCTATTCAACATCTTTATCCATTCATCGCTTCCATAATTTGGCTATTCTAAATAATGCAGCAATAAATACAGGGGTGTATATATCTATTTGAATTAGTGTTTTTATAGCTTTTGGGTAAATATCCAGCAGTGGAATTATTAGATTGTACGGTATTTCTGTTTTTAATGTTTTGAGGAACCTTCATATTGTTTTCCACAGTGGCTGCACCAGTTTGCATTCCCACCAACGGTGCATGAGCATTCCTATTTCTTCACATCCTTGCTAACACTTGTTGTTTCTTGTGTTTTTTATTTTAGCCATTCTGACAGGTGTAAAATGGTATCTCATTGTGGTTTTGATTTTCATTTCCTTGTTGATGAGTGATGTTGAGCTTCTTTTTATGTGTCTGTTGGCCATCTAGATGTCTGTGTTGGAGAAATGTCTGTTCACATCTTCTCTCCATTTTTTAATTGGATTTTTTTTGGGGGGAGGGTGTTGAGCTGTAGCAGTTCTTTATATATTTTGAATACTAAACTTTTATTGAATATGTCACTTGTAAATATCATCTCCCATTTGGTAGATTGTCTTTCGATTTTGTTGACAGTTTCCTTTGTGTGCAGAAGCTTTTTATTTTGATATTACCCAATAGGTGATTTTTGCTTTTGTTTGCCTTGCTTCAAGATACATCTAGAAATATGTTGTTAACAGCCGATGCCAACAATTATTGCCTGTGTTGTCTTCTAGAATTTTTATGGTTCCAGGTCTCCTATTTAGGTCCTCAGTCCATTTTTTTGGTGTTTTTCTTTTTTTCAAGAGGGAGAGAGAGACACACACACACACAGAGGGGAGAGGGGGAGGTGGAGAGGAATAGAGAGAGAGAGAGAGAATGAGAATGAAAATCTAAAGCAGGCTCCATGCTCTGTGTGAAGTCTGACATGGGGCTCTGTCTCACAACCCTGAGATCATGACCTGAGCTTAACTGACTAAGTCACCCAGGTTCCCTAGTCCTTAATCCGTTTTGGGTTTATTTTTGTGTATGCTGTGAGGAATTGGTTCAGTTTCATTCTTTTGCATGTAGCTGACCAGTGTTCCCAGCACCATTTGTTGAAGAGACTGTCTCTTACTATTGCGTATTCTTGCCTCCTTTGTCGAAGATTAATTGACCACATGATCATGGAATTATTTCTGGGCTCCTATTGTGCGTTGATCTATGTGATAATTTTTGTGCCAGTACCACACTGTTTTGAGTATTATAGCTTTATGTAGTATATCTCGAAATCTGGAATTGTGATACCTCTAGTTTTGTTGTTCTTTTTCAAGATTACTCTGCTTATTCGGGGATTTTGCAGTTCCATACAAATTTTAAGATTATTTGTTCTAGTTCTGTGAAAAATGCTGTGTTGATATTTTGATATGGATTGCATTAGACCTGGAGATTGCTTTGGGTAGTGTGGACATTTTAACAATATTTGTTCTTGGGGTGCCTGGGTGGCTCAGTCAGTTAAGCATCTGCCTTCGGCTCAGGTTGTGATCTCAGGGTCCTGGGTCCTGCTTCAGTGGGGAGTCTCTTTCTCCCTCTGCCTCTTTTTTCTTGCTTCTATTCTATATTCTAAAAACTTCTCTCCTAGACCAGCTTTTACTGCAGCCCAAAGATTCTGGACTATTGTATTTTCATTTTCATTTGTCTCCATGTATTTTTTTTTTATTTCCTCTTTGATTTTGTGTTTGACCCACTCATTGTTTAGGAGCACGTTATATAACCTCCATTTATTTGCAGTCTTTCCCAGTTTTTCTTGTGGTTGATTTCTGGTTTCATAATGTTATGGTTGGAAAAGATGCATAGTCATAGTAGGGGTTTGATCTTTTTCAATTCATTGAGACTTGTTTTGTGGCCTAATATGTAGTATATTCTGGAGAATGTTGTGTATGCACTTGAAAAAAAATGTGTATTTTGTTATTTTAGAATGGAATGTTCTGAATATATCTGTTAGAGCCTTCTGGTTCAATATGATATTAAAAGTCACTGTTTCCTTGTTGGTTTTCTCTTTGGATGATCTATCCGTTGATGTAAATGGGTTGTTAAAGTCCCTTATTATTATATTACTATTGATTACTTGTCTTTGTTTCTTATTAGCTCTTTTATATATTGGGATGCTCCCATTTTGGGTCCATAAACATTTACAGTTGTTACATCTTCTTGTTGGATTAGTCCCTTTATGATTGTATATTGCCTTTTGTTTTGTTTTGTTTTGAAAGATTTATTTAGAAAGAGAGTGCGAGTAGGGGGAGTACAGGGAGAGAGGGAGAGAGAATCGCGAGCAGGCTTCATGCTCAGCACAGTGTCTAATGTGAGGCTCAATCCCACAACCCTGAGATCATGACCTGAGCCAAAACCCAAGAGTCAGATGCTTAACTGACTGAGCCACCCATGTGCCCCAGATTGTATACTGTTTTAAAGTCTATTTTGTCTAAGTGTTGCTGTTCTGACTTTCTTTTCACTTCCATTTGCATGGTAGATGCTCTTCTGCCCCTTCACTATCAGTATGTAAGTTGTGTCTTTAGCTCTGAGTCTCCTGTAGGCAGCATATAAATGGGTCTTGGTTTTTATTCATTCTGTTACCCTGTGTCTTTGGATTGGAGGGCTTAGTCCATTTGCGTTCAGAGTAGTTACTGATAGGTAGGTACTTACTGCCATCTTGTTATTTGTTTTACAGTTGTTTGTGTGGTTCTTCTCTGTTCCTTTCCGTTCCCAGCTCTCTTCTCTCATGGTTTGCTGACTTTCTTTAGTGGTATACTTGGTTTTCTTTCTCTCTCTCTCTCTCTCTCTTTCTCTCTTTCTTTTTTTATATGTATTACTGGTTTTTAATTTACATATGCCATTTTATGCATATGGCATCTAAAGTTGATGGTTGCTTAAGTTTGAACCCATTATTTATTCATCTCTTTCCACATTTTAGGTATATGGTGTCATACTTTATATCCTTTTAATTTGTGAATCCCTTGACTGATTTTTATAGCTATACTTAATTTTACTGCTTCTATGCTTCCTCTTTTTCTTACTCCTGCTTATGGCCTTTCCTTTCCACTTAGGGAGCCCACTTTAACATTTCTTATAGGGCTGGTTTTGGGGTTATGAATTTCTTTAACTTTCATTTGTCTGGAAAGCTCTTTATCCAGCAAGGCTATCTTTCAGAAGAGGAGAGAGAATATTCTTGGCTAAAGGGTTCCCTCCCACGCCCAGCACTTTGAATACATCATGCTACTCCCTTCTGGCCATAAAGTTTCTTCTGAAAAATCAGCTGATAGCCTTAAGGAGTTTCCCTTCTATGTAACTGTTTTCTTTTAATTCTCTCTTTATCACTATGTTTTGCTATTTTAATTACTGTGTCTTGGTGTGGACCTCCTTGTGTTGTTTTTGTTGGGAGCTCTCGGTGTCTCCTGGATCTGGATTTCTGTTTTCTTCCCCAGATTTGGGAAGTTTTCAGCTATTCTTCAAGTAAATTTTCTGCCCCCCTTTTTCTCCCTTCTCCCCGGGGAGTCCGTATAATGCAAGTGTTACTATGCTTGATGGTGTTGCTGAGTTCCCTAAGTCTGTTTTCATTTTTTGTTATTTTTTTTCTTTCTCCTCTTCAGTTTGATTGCTTCCCATTATTCTGTCCTCTAGTTGCTGATCCATTCTTCTACTTCTCCAGTCTATTGTTTATTCCATCTATGGTATTTTTAATTTAGTTATGGAGTTCTTCATCTCTGATTGGCTTTTTAAAATGTTTTCTCTCTCTTTATTAAGGTTCTTACTGGGTCCTCCACTCTTTTTTTAAAGTCCAGTGAGTATCTTTATGATCATTCCTTCAAATTCTCTATCAAGCATATTACTTACTCCATTTTGCTTAGGTCTCTTGCTCTGATATTTTCCTTTTCTTACACTGGGGAAATATTCCTCTTTCTTCCCACTTTGTCTAACTCTGTGTCTGTTTCTGTGTGTTAGGAAAGTCAGCTCTGCCTCCTGCCTTTTGAAGAAGAGGTCCCAGTGCCCTGCCGGGCAGTGTCCCCTGTTCACCCAAACTGGCACTGCAGGGGGGTCTTCATGTGGAGTTGCATGTGCCCTGCTGTTGTGGCTGAGCTGCTTTTTCGTTCAGTCCAGTCATCCGCAGTGGCTCTGCCTGTTGTGGGCAGCATTGGGTACCCATGCTGTTGGGGGCCAGTCTGGGCCGGTCTGGGCTTGAGTCACATTCACATCAGGCATTTGCCAGAGATGCAGTAGCACCAGACTGCTGGGACTTTCCTTCTGCTATGCCCTGAGAAGCTTTTGTTGGTAGGTGGTGCCTACAGTTAGAGCTGCTGTCTGACTCCAGTCCGCTGCTGGGGCCGCAGTCCGGCTTGGTTGGGTGGTTATCTCCCTCCTCCCCCTCAAGTCAGGGGTCATTTTGCGGAGGGGCCAGTCCATCCCTGCCAGGGCTGCTCATACCTTGCCAAGCCTGTGGCACTGGTTTGGATGTGCACCGGCCAAGGATCTGTTAGAGGGGAGAGGGACCCACAGTGCAGGCAGTGTTAGCAAGTTTTGCATGGGTCTGCTCTGGGGGAAACCTGGATCCAAGGCCTGGCTGGAGGGGTTATGTCCGCAGGAGAAGGCAGGCATACTGTTACCAAGCTAGGTGGAAAGTGTTGGCCTGGAGCTCATTCCTATAGGTGTTCATGTGTCTGGGCAGAGGGTGGGGCAGGGAAATGGTGTCCACCAGCTCCTTTGTCCCTGGTGAAGTTTCCCAGAATCCCCAACCCTCTGGCTCATGCTCTGATGTGAGTAAAGAAAGCTCCCTTGTGTATACCGCAGGTGTTTTTCCAAGTGCTGCTTCTATTGCAGTATCTCCAAGGGGTTGTTTGTCGTGTTCTTTAAGCATGGGGACTCAGTTTCCTATTTCCCTCCTACAGATTTTAAAGTTCCAGGTGTTAAGCCCTGCTGATTGTAAGACCTCACAAAATTATGCCCCTCTGGTATTCATGTGGGTTCCCCATGTCTGGGGTGCTTGGTGTGAGGGTTTGATCCTCTCCCCTCTGTGTGTCCCCAGTGTCTCTCCCTCTTATAGAAAGTTTGTGGGCTTATTTAGCTCCCGACCCCATCTGTGTGCTCCCTGCCTTCTTCAGTGTGGCCTTTTCTACATTTAGCTGTGCAGAGTCTGGTCTGCTAATCTTCAGATGTTTCTGGGTCATTTACACTGATACAGGTGATACCTAGTTGTATCTGTGGGAGGAGGTGAGTTTAGGGGCCTCCTACTCTGCCATCTTCCCCCGAAGTCATCCACAATTAATTCTTGACTCTCATCCTGGTGCCCGACATTCTGTCCATTCCAACCAGGAAGATGTTCCAAGCTGCTCTTGGCAGGCCAGGTATAACTCTTAGATCCTTAAAGGAGTTTCACTCATCTCACAGTTCTTTTTGATCTCCCTGTATCAGAAAGTCAGCAGTTTTCTCTTTATTTGGGTTGGTGTTGGTACATTTCACATCATCATGATAAAAGGTAGGATTATGGCAGAATTCTTGAAGAAGGATGTCTCTTAATTTCAAGATTCATTCTTTGCCGTTTTTAGTTCTCTTGAATTAGAGGTGCCTGTTATTCCTGGTGAGTTAAAATAGGAGAGCTAGATGATGGTGTTGTGCCACCCAGTTGTGAACGTTACATATTCTGAGAAACTGTACAGCATATAATCATTTTATTAGTGGCATTTTAACGAAGTACTTTTGGGAGTCCCGTTCCATACTGCAGGGGGCAGAGAGTACACAAAGCCATTCCTCCTGGAGGTAAAATTTTCATCTGCAAATACCTCAAATCTACAAGATAGTCATGCATTCTTTTATCTCTTGGTTATTGTATTCTCTTTATTTGGTGATAGTTTTGGAATTTAGAGGTGGAAAATGGAAGGGGGGTTTAATGTGAGGACACATGAGTAGAACAGTCATGTGTGAAGAACTCACACATAGCCTTGTGTATTTATCCATTCCCCTTGCTCAACATCTGCCTCTTAGCGGGTACGCGCTAAACCGTTACTGAATGAAGGAATGAGGCAAAGCCTGAGCAGGCCATAAGATGTAACTTACTCTTTGTTCTGTGAGACTAACTCATTGCAGCCTTCTCTCTTTTCTTAAAAATCTGTTAAACATTCAAAGAGACACTTTAATAACTTCCTCTCAGCCAGGGCAGAACATAAACTAAAGAGAACAGCTATTTATAAAATTGTGACATGATTTTATAAATGTTTTCATGTTGCATAGCAGAACTTGAAAAAAACATTGTGTTTAATTACAGAAATGTGATGCAGGTAGCCTCTGCAGTGTTCTGATGATTATTACCTCATAATTTACGTAGAAACTACTCCCCGCCATGGAAAGGTAGAGCCTTGTAGCCTTGTTCCTTGGGTTGCTAAAAGGTTGAGCTAAATAAGTATGAAGTAAGAAGACTCAGCCATTATTTTAAAAACTTAGGGTACTTAGGTGGGGGCAGCTGGTGGAGGTCAGGGGGACCCTGGGACAGAGGTAGAAGTTAGGAGAGTGGCGGGGAAGGGAGCTCAGATTTCTCAGCTGTGTGTTGGTTGACTCACTGGGCACAAGGGCTCTAGGTTCCATGTGCCAGTCTGAAGTTCTCACACTTGTTTTCATCCGCATAAGACTACATGTTCATGATTGTTACTGCTTTCTCTTCTGAATGTCTAGACATATATCAGTATTAGCCGAAACAATAAAGAAAGGAATACATGATGCGGATTCTGAAGCAAGGATAGAAGCCAGAAAGTAAGTGTTAACTGTACACCACTTGTTTTTAAATTCACTCTTTTTAAGTTTCAGGTATTGTTTAGATTGTGTTATTAAAAACTCATTAAATTACATGAATATGTTTCATTGATGGTGACTTTCAAATATGACCTCAAAAGACCATGTCACACTATTTCTCTGCATTTTTGTTTTGAAGGTTCAGGTGCCCAGGCCTGAAAGACTGACTGATAGTATCTGAATATAAACAAGACTGAGGGTTGCAACAGCATGCTCGTTTTTAAATTTATGACAAATGATTATATGAATCAGAAAAGCATTTGTGTGCACACTCAGCATATTTTCTTCCTCATGAGGCTGTGTTAGGAGCCAGGTCATAATCCAAAGGGACCTTTGGCTTTCCTGGGCAAAATCACGGTCCCAGAGATCTTCCCCTGTGACGGTCTCTTTGCAGGCTCCAGGTGGCTGCCGGGGAAGGTATGCAGGCGGTGAGGGGCAGGCGGGTTGAGGAGATGCTGGGGATTCCTGCAGCGCATTCCTGCAGTGCTGACTTGCAGTTGCCAGGCCACTCGCGAAGCACTTTTGCCATCAGGCGGGTCGGGTTCCGGTCACAAGGCAGTGACCATGCATTCCGTGCCTCCCGGGAATAATTTTGTCACTGTGACTGTAAACGCCAGGAGTCAGATGCTGAGACTTAGGCTGTCTTGGGCCGTGTGTAGAGGAGTGCTGTGAGTGATCTGTGCTTTCATAACGACCGGCTCTTGTACCAGACACAGGTAGCCTCTTTTCTCACTCACCTGGAATATTAACGTCTCACTTAGCGGCAGCAGTACCTCCTGACCAGGTCCCTGTGGCTCTTGGACTGCTCTCTCCATTAAATTCTATTCCCCTGATTTCTGAGGCTTTCGGAGGACCTCACCGAAACACTCAAGAGCTTACCACAGTCTCAGCTCAGCTAGTTCCTACCAAAACGAGTGACGTAGTTAGTTGCTCACAACTCTTAGGAATGGAGTTGGCAATGACATACATAGGCTGTTTTTATCCTCATATGCATTCTTCCCCTTCCCAGTTTTTTCTAGTTCTCTCGTCATGCCTGCAATACAAATTTCAAGTAGCTCAGAACATCTTTGTGCCTCTCTCGTGCATGTTGTCTGAGGCGACTGTAAATACTTCTGATTGATGAGTGTCAAATCACTTTTATAAAAGCTGCCACGGATGAGCCCCGTCCCTATTGTGAACCTAGTTCTTGACATTTTAGCTCCACTGTCCCGAAGGCTCCCCAGTCTTGCAAGTTAGGCCCTTTAGTTTCCATTTTATAGGGGAGAATGAGATGCAGAGAAGCCCAGGAACTTGCCCCGTGTCAGAAGAGCCAGTACAGCGTGGTCAGGGTCCATCCCAGGCCGCCTTTGTCCACCCTCCCTCACCTGGTGCTGCTCCTAGGGGCACTGAACTGCAGAGCACAGTCCTCAACCACGTTTCGTGAGGGGCCATGGAGTTCGGTGGGAGCCCTGTGCGATCCTGACTGCGGCACACTGCGTGTCTCCCCTAGGTGCTATTGGGGTTTTCACAGTCACTTCAGCAGAGAAGCAGAGCACCTGTACCACACCCTCGAGTCCTCCTACCAGAAAGCCCTGCAGTCCCACCTGAAGAACTCCGACAGCATCGTGTCTCTGCCGCAGTCCGACCGCTCATCCTCCAGCTCTCAGGAGAGTCTGAAGTAAGCACTTTACCCATCCTTTCATGCGTGGGAGAGTTTATGTGGAAAGATTTACTACATGACACAAATTCCAGCTGTGTTTTTTTTTTGTTTTTTTTTTTTTTTTTAATGTGTACGTGCCTGTTCTAGTCCCCCTTTGTTCAGATGGGCTCTGCTCCTAGGTAGATGCTGTGGAGAATGGTAGGGAAAAGGCGGCCTCGGTCTCTGCAGTAAGTAGTGTTGCGCTAACTTTATAAGGCAGCTCTAGAAGACAGGCTTGGAGTGAAATAAGTGAATTATTCACAGGGTCTTCTAGGAGAATATGAGTGTTCACTTGGAGACGAGTCTGGAAAGAGGGAGGGTGTTGGAAATCTGGGAGTAAATGTATTACCGTCCTCACTCTGGATTTCTAACTTCTGGCTCGAGTTAGGACTTCTCTCTAGATGTTTGGAAGGTAGTCTGAAATAGAATGTTAAAGCTTCGTCTGACATCAGGGGTTTATAAGATTGTGGTCCCAGTTACCCTAGAAATGCAGAAGACTCTGAAATAATTCCTTCGTTACCGTAGTTTCCTGCTGTCGACTGTACTTGTGTGAACACGGCGGAAGCGCATATTTGATAATAATGAACATGCGTGTATGTTTATTTTCAGCCGACCACTCTCTGCCAAAAGAAGTCCTACTGGAAGCACCACCTCTAGAGGTAAGACTGAGCGCCATGGTGATGGCCGTCTTGGGGCCGCCTCTGTTTCTGTGCAGCGGAGGCTGCTTCGCCACTGGCAGCCAGTCCCCTGCTTTCAGGGGCCCTTCAGGTTTGCAGAGCCTTCTGCTGTCAGTGCTCTGGCTGTGCCCAGCACAGCTCCCCTGCCCTAGTGGCCCAGAGCGGTGAGGAACATGTGTAGAAATGCGGCCCTGTGACCTTTCCACTTGTTCCGGTCACTGGACAGGAGAGTGAGGACAGCTGGTGACGCCTCGAGCAGCAGCAGCAGCAGTGTGGTGGCTATTAGAGGTGGGAGAGTAGAACGTTCCCTGAGAGCAGGAGGGTAATCGGAGTCAGGGTGCCTGCTTAGGCCACAGGGTGAGAGACTGGCCAGATGTGCGTGCTTTTTCATTACCTCACTCCTCACATGAACCAAAAAGAGGGGCCGTTGCTTTGGGGTTTATAGTCTTTGGTTACAAGAAAACAAATGGAATGGGTATGTTGGTTGTAGTCACTTAATTTCCTTCAGCGCTGGCTGAACTGTCTTCAGTGACCAGGAGAAACAGCGTGTCATTACCTATGCACCCCAGCCTTTCTTAAAACTAGCTAAAGAATTTTAACTTCTTTACTCTGTCTGAGTCAGTTAAGTGTCCCAGCTCTTGATTTCAACTCAGGTCTTGATCTTAGGGATGTAAATTCAAGCCCCACATTGGGCTCCATGCTGGGCACGGAGCTTACTTTAAAAAAAAAAAAGAAAAGAAAAAACTTAAGAGCAAAACAAATTTTAACAATGCATGTTTACAATTCTAGTGTAGTCCCTACTGATGTTTCCTTCCTTACCTCTCAAGCTTCTACAGTTAGTACCAAATCCGTGTCAACAACTGGGTCCCTCCAGCGGTCTCGAAGCGATATTGACGTGAACGCAGCAGCCAGTGCCAAGTCCAAGGTGTCTTCGGTCTCAGGCGCTACGCCTTTCAGCTCTGCAGCGGCCTTGCCTCCCGGGTCATACGCATCCTTAGGTAACCAGACTCCCACCTCCTTCCCCCTGCAGCTCTGCTGTTAGAGATTACAGTTAGCCCTGCTCAGATTTATTTAACAAATTATAAAACACAATCACTGAGGAGATTCTCACTGTTCCAGGGCTGATATTTAAGTATAAGTAGCTCTGTGTGTTTACTGCTGATTCCCAGCCACCCTTTGTTGAGTGTTCCCTTTCTCTGGAGCATCGTCCCTTTTAGTGACGAGTAAGTACCTCTGTGCTCCCACAGTGTGTCACATCCTTCAGCTTCACTTCCCTCTTCGTGGCAGCCCAGCCAGCACCTGCGCCACCTCCCATATTGCCAAGCTGGCTTTTACCCCCTTGTGCCATTGGTGGGGCAGAGTCAGAGGGTTTGGTGAGGGAGTCACCAAAGACCGTCGTAGTTAGGTGTATCCCAATTTGAGAATACGACTGGGTGGCACAGGTGTGGGGCGCAGGGACCACAGCAGGGGGCACCTCTAGAGAAATGTGGTGGATTCCATAGAACAGGGTTGGTCTTCCATGTGTCACCTTGGGAGGACAGTGTACTTTAACAATGGCCAAAGGATTTTTAAAAAATTATTTAAAAAAAAATTCATATCTGACAGAATGGAATGTCAGTTTTTCCACAGACAACTGAACACCCGTATGTAAGGCTGATCACTGGTTATATTTTATTTTTGTTAGAGCAAAATCATTCAAGCCAAAATCTTGAGACTTCGCTGGATGGGTTTTATTTTGCATTTTATGGAAATTGAATACATACAGTTTAAGCTTCATGGAACATTGAGACTGAATCACTTATGTGGTTTACAAACCAGTTCCGAAGTCATTTCTGAAACTAATGTTCTGAGCATGGAAGCCGAGTGAGAGAGCACCGAGAGATGATTATGGGCCTGCCACTGATTAGCTTGGTGGCCTTGAATGGGCCGTGCAGTCTCTGAAGCTGGTTTCTCCACCTAATTAGTTGTGGTAATAGTCACCCAGCTCAGACACATGCAAGGGATCGATGACTGGATATAAAAGTCCTTTGTAAACTATCATCCTGTAAGGTGAAAGAAAACCAGATTGTGCTAGGACCATTACAGTGAGAGAGGCCTGTGTTCTGGAACGTCAAGTCAGTTAAGTCAGTCTTGTTTTCTCTAGGGAGATACCTCAGACACAGGTACCTTTTGATTGAAAAGAAACCCACTGAGTGTTCTCCCTTTCTAGCATTTTAGTACTGTGGCATCACCCCGGAGTGTTAGGATGTTAGATTGGTAGGTAGTCATGGAGTAAGGGGGAAGTCAGAATGACTCTCTCCTGGGTGGAGTAGCTCTGTTTGCTTTCGGTCAGCTTTGAGTATGTACCCCGTGTTTCAATACATGTGATCCACCTTGAGTGTTTGTCATCAGTATTTGTTTCATCGCTTGAAAATTCGAGTAAAACCCGTCTTTTAGAGTACTCAGTAGTCTTTGTTTCTCTGTGCGTATTTGGGATATTTTAATAGGGACCATGTAGACTTCCCCTGGTACTCGTAACAGCACTCAGGTCTTTTGGCCTGATGATACAGAATTGACCTCTTAAAACCCTGAGGATAAATTTTCAGCCCCGCATTAGCTCTTCAGATAACAAGACTGGAGTAGTCCATTCTCTCCCAAGAGAGTGTCTCCCCCTGCTTCCCTCATGTTTTGAACCACAAAACAACAAAACCCCTGGAAATTTAACATAATCCTACTGAGGAATTGTTACGATTACTACTTGGGGTGGCACATTACATCTGTACAGAAGTGTAGCATCAAAGCTGACAATCCTTTTCCGAACTTCTAGAGTCCAGACACGTGAGGGAAGATACGGAGTCCGTAGGCCTTGACGCAGGTACCCCGCTGTACAGCTTCTGCTGCTCACTGTGTAGTTGGGATAGGCGTCATTGCTAGAGCCAGCTTCTGTCAGCTTCCTACTTGCCTCTGTTCTTTGGGTGACTCTTCAGTACTTTAGTGTTTGGTTTCTCCCCCTTACACTGCTGGTACTTGGTTCTACGAGAAAGAAACTCTGAAGAGGATGAGGGTTGGCTAAAACAGAAAATCAACACCTTACCAATCAAGGGGCTACCCTGGGTTGCCATGTTTCGTTTTGTTTTCCAAAAGCCAAAAGCCACATTATACTAAAGCCGATTTTAATACAAGGCACACTTATTCGCTTCAGAATCTGCTTTGCTGTTGAACTTGTTTCTTTTTTAGTTTTATTTTAAATTGTACTTTTGCTTTTTTAGTAGCTAATAACATTCTGCTTTTTAATTTTTTTACTGTTACTAACTGTTCCCTGTTATCCCTTCCCTTGTTTTTTAATTTGCTTAAAGATGGTACTTCCACTAAAGCGGAGGGTAAGCGGTTTGTTTCTGTGATTGAGGTGTGTCTCGCCTTCACCCGTCCTCTGTGCTCACTGAGTGTTGCCTGGTGCCCACTCGTCCTCACCGAGGTCCCTGCATGACATGTTGCACGTTCCCCCCACTCTTCTTCATTCTGTTTCCCCGGCTCTTTGCCTTCCCTCGACCTGAGTTCTCCTCCCTTGTTCTGTCGTGGTTCTGGTGATTTTTGTCACTCAACATGTGCTGTATGTGGTTTCCGGCGCCCAGCCCACCCCGGCCAGGAGCATCGCCAAGACTTTGTGTGCTGCCGTCCAGTGGGCTGCTCGTCTCAGATTTTGTTACTCCCCAAGTACTCCCTTTGTAGCTCTTTTTCTTTCTCTTTACTTTTGTACTTCTGTGGGCCTCTCAGGATTTGCCTTTCCTGTTTTGAAAATAAATTCAGTGTCATTTATTTAGGTAAAAGGCTGGTAACGGTTTTCTACCAGGTAATTTATAGAAATTTTAAACAATGCTTTTCTCTTCCCTAAAGATGCTACTGAATTATACGATGTCATTTTTATTTGTGTCCCTGACCCGTACCCCATTCATCCATCGACCCTTGTTCTTCTGCTCGCCAGCTGTGTATTAAATGCATTTCATGTGCTCTGTTCGGCGCTACACACAGGATCTAGCATGGAGAAAGAAAAACACGCCTCCAGATCCACTGTGGTTTCTTTTTATGCCATTCTCCAGAAATTCTTCCTGATTTTACATTCTCTTTTGACTTTCAGACCTAACCATATCAGTTTGTACAGGTCTTTCATTAGCACATGCTAGACGAGATGAGACCATCCCTTTGCACAGCTGGCTGGAAAGCAGGATAATGCCTCAAATAACTGAAATTTAGAGGAACCTCATCTGCTTCAGTGGCTTAGACCCACAAACCCTCCCCTAATGATTTAACAATTAGGAGCTGCTTGTTTATTTGCATACATTATTTAGCTATTCTAAAAGGGTAGCCTGCACAATGGACTGGTGCTATCTTTATACGTGCAGTTCACGGTACTTTTAATCGATATACTACTTCCTCAGGGACTCCTTAAGGAAAAGTTAGGAATGGAGTTTTTTTAAAGGATGAGCATAACCCCAAGGTCCATGTTCTTCGAACTGAACCTCATCATAAGAATTACTTGCAGCTTGCTAAAGGAACAGAGTCCTGGGTCCTTCCTCCTGAAATCCTGATTAAGTTTGGAAGGAACAATAGAATCTGAATTTTCAGTAAGCCCCATAGGGTGATTCTTCGGGGTGGACAAGTGTGAGAAGTGAAAAGTTCCCCAAATGAAAAATGGACAAGAAGCCTGTGTCACGATGAGGACCTCCTTCATGAGAGTAGCAGACTCTTGGGGCTGGGTGTGACTTACTGCATTTTTTAGCCCATAAAGAGTAATTGTACATTTCTCCTTCCCAAAGAAATGATCCTACGTTATTTCTTCAACCTAGATGAAAGAGGAGTGGAGCGTGGAATTCTGGAATGTAGATGGAATGGGAGGATGGTCCGAGGGAGATTGTATTTTTTTCCCAGATGCTTGTATTTCATACGCTTATGTGACAGAGTTGAAATCAGCCTGCTGTTTTCCCCAGCACTGGGAATTTTTCACCTTTCTTTCTTTTTATCAGTTCTTTTCTTACCAGTGCAGAGCAAGGTCAGAAGATTGCCTACTCAATTACTGTGCCAGAGACCAAGGACGAGGCATCTCTTTCTGGTTTTTGCCATAGGGAAGGTGGGAGAATGAGATGGGGCCCCTTCGTTGTATCGGGTTCAGAATCCCATGGATGACAGGAAGACAACCTTAGTGAGGGGAGCCAGTGAGCCTTGTTCCCTGCGTCCAGGGGCACACAGGCTGTCAGGGGCAGGACATCAGGCCTTCTTCGGCCCTCGGCACCCACGAGAGGGAAGGGACAGAGTGCGGGGGACGGCTGGCTCCAGCACACCTAGCACACTCTGGCTGTGAGGCGGTGAAACCTAGCCGTGCTTAGAAAAGCCACACACGGTTCTTAGAAAAAGGCATGAAACATCATGACTCTCAGGAAAGAGTAAATACCATGTGGTCCTGAGTTTCCTGTCTGAAGTTTTGGAATCCTTACGGGCCTTTTTAAAATTTGTTAATAGTAATAAGCCTGGGAAGCATTTTCCTGTCTAGTTCCTGAGACCAGAAGAGACAGGTGCTTTCATCAGTAGGAGACAGAGATATGACTGGGAATCAATTGTTGGATGCTCTAAATTCAAAATTCACATTTGAATTCTGGCCACTTCATTAGTGGAGGAATGGAGTAAATACATCTCCTGTGGGAGTTTCTTTATCATACCCAACAAATAGCCTTGTTTACATTTACAACTAGTCAGAAAATACTTTTTTGTGAAGAACCCATAGAAACTCATCTTGTGGACAAGTTTATTTCCAGGTTATCTTTGTGTAATTTGGGGGGATTTAGAAGGACACATTTATGTCGTTGGTTCTGCCACTCGTGGAGTCTGTGATGGGATGCTTCGGCTTTGAGTCCCATCTAATACTCAGGATTTTTAGTTACTATGGTTTAGGAAATGCCCTATTCATATTTTTTCCTGGAACACATAATTTTAAATGAAGGGTTACTGGGCTTGAGTGACCCATGGG